GCTAGATCTTGAGTGTCCTGTAGCTAGCTGGTGCCCAAGTCACCAGTTGTATCACCCTGAATGGATCCTTTCTTTTGGCTGCTGATCTGTTGTTTGTATGGTATGATATGAACCTAAAGCTTGGGTTAGCCGGCGATGGAATTGTCTCTGCTTTGGGCATTTCTCCTGCAGCACTTAGCCCTCCTGTGCTGGTTGGCTCCTACCCTTTGGGTATCTCCGCAGCCTTTCTGGTGCTGCCTCCTGGGCTGTTCATCTCACCATCTGGAGGAACGTGTTTGCATTACAGTGGAGCTCTGTACCTTCTTCGGGCTGCAAAGGAAGCCTCTCTGGGGGCTTTAGAAGGAAATATAAAACCTTACTTGCACAGTTGTGCGGTTTGGGCTGACTTGTTTAGGGAAGCCATCTAAGTTGAGTACTTTGAACTTCTTAAAAGGTTTTCCTCAGAGGGATACTACTCCCAAAGTTAGGTTCATATGTGTGCCTACCTGCTTAATTCCATTAACTACTACATTATAGAAATAATGGAATTTCCCCCCCATGCACTTGTATGTACAATAGCCAAGAATTTTTTAAATTGGAAAATGGGATTGAAAATTGCCCTGTTTTACTTAAATTCATTGTTATATAAATTAGTGCCTGAAAGACAACTTGAAATGCTGGAGGGTTTATAAAAAGTCTAGAACATAGTGATTGGTTTCAATAAATTATTTTTCTATGGTACATTCTTGTACCTAATTACCAATGTAGAAAATATTGTCTGCGTGTATGTGTACTTTTTTTTTCCCCCAGAAACTCTCTGCCAGTTTTGTAGGGGAAACTACTATTTCTCTCAAAGTACTAGTCTTTGATGCCTAGTGTGAAAGATAAGAAAACATGGGCGGTCCAGAGGAGGCCCAGGGCTGGCAGTCCACAGGCGTGAGGGACGCACACTGCTCTGGATGGGCTCCTCTCTTCCATGGGCTCTTCATCATCTCTTGCCTCTGTAGGCTGGACTCTGCCTTGCACCGAGAGGCCCAGGTGGTCATGGGGCCTGTGTTGGTGCCTATGAAGTTGCTCAACTCGCTGTGCATTGCTGGATTTCTAAGAATTAGCTGTATCAATAGGTTTTCTTCCTGTCCAATTCCTAAAAATTGCTTAATTCAATTGATGACAGGTAAATTTTTTATCTTGACATGCTCCTTCAAGAGAATAGTTGCTGGGTGCCTGGGTGGCTCAGTTGGTTAAGCGACTGCCTTCGGCTCAGGTCATGATCCTGGAGTCCCAGGATCGAGTCCCGCATCGGGCTCCCTGCTCAGCAAGGAGTCTGCTTCTCCCTCTGGCCCTCTTCCCTCTCGTGCTCTCTATCTCTCATTCTCTCTCTCTCAAATAAATAAATAAAATCTTTAAAAAAAAAAAAAAGAATAGTTGCTAAGGTGTGTTTTAAAATGAAAACACTTTTTAAAGATCATGAAATGATTAGGAAATCCTACACATTCTGGAACTTTCTGTCTTCATTTTTTCCATTCCTTGGCTCTTGGCTCTTGGCTCTAAGTATGGTTCATGATCATGTGTTGACACAAACACTGAGATCTACAAGGAAGGGGCAGCTGATTATCCAGCAGGTTCCTGCGGCCCTGCATAACAGAAGGAGATAGCTTCAGTGGGGCTGCCAGACTTTCTGCTGAGGAAGCATTGTCTAGGACAGTCTGCAGAGCCCTGCAGGCCGCTTGTGTGAAATGGAGCTCCTTTAGGATTAAGACAGTGATTTCCAGACCACGCTTGTGGTGAGGTGGTGTCTCTGGTATGCACTGTCTTATCAAAGGACGGCATGCCAAACTTCAACCCTCGCTGAAGAAAGCTGTGCAGGCACACTTCAGAGGCTTTATACTGTCGTTTTTTTCTTTTGTACAACTGTCGTGGCTTGCTTTCTTTTTTGCATTTTGAATGACTATTTGGTGAGAGTTTGTGAATTTTATTTTATATTTTGGCTTTTGTGGCTTTCTGCTAGGTTTTCCTCTCCTTTACCAAATTCAGGCAGCTGCCATGTTAGTTTCTCTTTGCTTTCATATTGGCTCCCTTCCACGGCCATCTTTCTAGATGTTAAACACTTTTTTTCGTGCAGCTTTCTTTTCATCAGCTTCAAGGCATCTCTTCTCTTAAGAAGATAACAAAATGCTTTCATTGATTAAAAGAGCTCAATAATAATTTTGACCTTAGATTCTCTGGATTTATTTCTCCCTACTAATAATTGAGCATGCATAGATTTGCCCTACCAAAAAGATAACGCTGCTGTTCTTAGTACAATTCATGGGCTTTTCTAGAAAAGTTAGAATTTACTGTTTTCTAAGTTCATCCTCCACTATCCTCACCCCATCTCCACAAAGTTTTTTTAATAAGAGATGCTTTTCTCCATGACATAAAATTTACCATGGCACACGCAATTAGGTCTTATGATATAAACTGGAAATGAATCCCTGTATTTTCTGCATGTGGCTCCTTAATCAGGATTTGAGAATAAATATCTGTAAAAGATACTTAACTACTTTGAAAATGAGGTCATTTCATTTTGAGGCCATTCCTACGGCGAAGCGTCTTATGACCTGAGCAATAAGGTTTTCCTCTAAGAGCTAAACTAGTAAGAGGCAGCCCACATATTAACTATTAACGGAAGTGTTCATCTCTCTATAATAATAACCCACACTCGGAAGTCACCTATAACGGAAGCTATAGAGATCTGAGAATGTCAAAGTCGAGGTAGAGGGTCTGAAGTGTTACCTTCACTACAACAGTTCTTGTCAACTGAATACAAATCAATACAGTAAAATATTAGTACCTTCCCTTAAATGCCTCTCTTTCACTAGACTGAGCTTCTTGAGGTTTGGGAGCGTGCCTTCTAATAGAGTAGCGTTAAGAGTTAACTAAGATCCTGGGCCCCAGAGTTCACATCCCAGGCCCCGTCCCCATCGCTTACTGGCTCTTGTGGCTCTTTTCCTTACTTTCTCCTTACCTCTTTCTCAGTAAACTAGCCATTACATAGAGGAGTTGTGAGGATTAGGTGAAAGATACATGGTATGTAGGTACTTTTTTGCCAGTATTACATTTCATCCTAACCCCAGAGGTGCAAGTTAAGTGCTTATTATATCAATATTCAAAGGAGACTTTCCTTGAACCTGGGCAGAAAGGCAGCCCCATATATCACAAACACACATAGGTCCCTCTGTCACTAGGTATCTGGCACTCAGTGAAATTTGTAACCTGGGAGACACCCCCGTCATGTTTTGACCTGCATCTTTGAATGGAGATTGGTGGGTTGTACCACTGTTGACTTTGAGGCAGATACTACTTTAGTGTACAGGAAGGATTTGAGCTGCAGAAGGGGCTAGAAGAGAAAAGACACATTAGCTTGTTGAACCGTCTCAGCATGGATGCAGTGGATTGTACCAAAAGAAGATGTTTCCCAGAAGTGCTGTGCTTCCATTTCCCTGCTTGTTTTAGGGTTTTACTTCATGGCTCTGCAGGTTCTGCAGTATTAGGAATGGTTCTACATGGAAGCTGAATGACATTTGCAATGTTAAACCATATTACTTGTATATATGTAAATATATAGGTTTATATAGAGCATACAAGAAGTTCAGTAGTGATTCATTCATCATTTTATTATTTTACAGGGAAATTTTAAAATATTCAAAACTTGGGTTTTCAACTTTTTATGTTGAAGGTAATTAACCTTTTGGCAAATATATTAAAATTTTATCCACACTAAATGCAGTTACATATTGTTTTTTAATACTTTAGATTATTAGAACATAATAGGACACAATTTATTTTTCTAGAACATAATTTATGGGGGCCTCTGGGTGGCTCAGTTGCTTGAACGTCTGCCTTCAGCTCAGATCATGATCTCGGGGTCCTAGGATTGAGCCCCACATTCTCTCTTGCTTTCTCTCTCTTTCAAATAAATAAATAAAATCTTTGTAAAAAAAATAACTTACGTAAAAATCTTGATTTTAACAGTATGGTGATTTTGCCAAAATCAAGGCAAGAAAATAAATCTTATGGAATAAATACATAATATATGAACGTATATCTTTCTGTATCTTTCTGTATATATCCAAATATTACCAACTCATAAACAGAATTATCAGTGTGTGCAATAAGTTAATACTATCATCTCTGGTGTTTTGCTGACTTTCAGTCATTTAAAAAAACATAGCTCGTCACATGTTTTTTATTTTTATTGTAATGAAGGTATATTGAAAATGGTAGGAGGAATGAATATATTTAATAGCTTTTAGCTGATTTTATAACTTGTAAATAATTCGAAATATGGTCTGTGTGACTTTATTTGTGCCTTGCTGGGCCTAAGAGAAAGGAGTGGTAGTAACATCTGGTGTGGAGCACACAGGAGATGAGGAAAGTTCTGCAGAGAAGGTAACACGTGATCTGGATGTCTGGTGACAAGGATGTGGCTGGCGTGCACAGCAGTTGGAACAGAGAGTGTAGCCTGAGCAGAGCTCCACCCTTTAGTAGCAGATACAGTGCCACTGTTGGGCTGGGTGTCCCAGCCCAGCTGGGCTTCTGGACTCACAAAGCTAAGGCCCAAGAATGTGGTAATCCCAGCGGGCACATCATGTCTGGCAAGGCCTCGGGGAGACAGGCCAGGAAGCTCTCACCGCGGTCTCCGGTCTCCGTTAGCTTGCTCAGACTCCCAACACAATACTTTTATTTCAAAGCGCAATTAGCATCTCCACTAAGAGACGGAGTTTAGAGAAGAGAATGCGAACAGAGACGAATGAAGTGGGCTTCACCCATTCGCATAATGATGCAAAAGAATGATATTAGAAGCCAAACAAAGGTCATTTCTCTGTGGTAGCACACAAAGGAAAAAGTGTTTTCTAGATAGGAAAGCTTGCTGAGATTTTCAAGCAGCCCTAGAGGATGAAAGACCTCCATCCTGACCAGAAAGATTCCAGCTGTGCCTCATTCTGAGCACTGACGCGGCCTCTTCGGTCCCCGTCTAGGCATTCCCGCTGTGGTCTGATACTCCGTCGCGCCTAGGCTGCCATGCTGGTGTGCCCCTGTCCCCGCCTGGCCACCACAGGGGTGGGGGCTCAAGTTGCCCACGACCATCGGCTCCTGTCATTGCATTTCTTTGCCCTGTGACATGTGACCTCACTGTCGTGTCTTCATCATCATTGTCTCTTCCATCTCCCCCAGCATCTCCTCCTCTGGCTACAGGTACAGCATTTTTACTTTTAAGTCCTTGCGTTGTTGTCCTGTCCCACTCACACCCAGAACCCATTCATTCCCCCAAACTTAACTGAGGACCAGCCGTGTGCCAGACACAGGGAAAACTAGAGTGAAAAAGACCAACCTCCTGACCTCTAGGAGTTTGGCCAAGTAAAAAACACCTATCCTCTGTCTTGTGCTTCTGATCAGAATACTCTGATCAAAATGAAATACTTTATCCTCATAACAACCTTGTAGTGTTATGATCATCAAAGTAAAAAGCAATCCATGTTTGATTTTTCCAGCATTGCTTAAAATACCACTTCCTTCTTATTTTCTGGTCTATGTTGGCATGAAATCATCAAGTTTTGTTAATCCTGCATTCAAATTCATGCTCCTCCATTGACCTCTGGTGTTTTAGCACCATAAGTTGTTTTTAAAAACGAAGCAACTTTTCTCATATCTCCCCCTGTTTTGTTATAAATATATACTGAGGCTCCCTCCCCACATTCCCCTAAGTAATCCAATATTTATTTCTAATGTACACATACAGGTCTTTATTTGATATGCAGTCCCTACTATAAGCCTCTATAGGGAAGGGCCTTGGCTCACCAGATAAATCATATTACAGAGCATGTGCTTGATAGAGGTTGGCCAAATTTAACATAATCTACAGAATTAACTTCTTGTGCTTCCAACTTTTAACTATAAATAATTCTTTTCATTTCCCAAATGGTCTCAATGTTCCTATTGAGTTTTACCTTTGAAATCCTTATCCACAATTTGATTTTTCTTTCCTTTCTTTACAGCAGATAGGTGAACCCAGACAATTTGATGTTTTCTGAAATTAAATAAGGATGGCCTGAATTTCTTCATCTATATCTATAATCAGATTACTGAATAATACAGAACCCACACTTTGTGCTATGGTTTCTGCCAATCCACATGGTCACTCAACTGCTAATTACTGCTGACTGATTATGAGCCTGTAGGCAGATGTCCAGCAGTGATCCAAATCATCTGTCCCTATTTTTTTATCAGAGTGTTCTGTGGTCTGACATCAAATTCTTACTGAAGATCAAGCAAATTTTTCCATTTTTTTTTTCTTCAAAACTTACTACTCCATGGGAAGACATTGAGATTGCTATAGTAAAGTTGCTTTTAAATTTTGCCCAGTGCCCTGCTGTATGTGGACGACCTGGGCGTGAGCTGGTGGCCTTCCGCACTGATGATACGCTGGGCCTGGCAGGGGCCTTCTGGTCAGCGGCGGCCAGTGGTGCTGCACTGGTTTCTGCCCATTTTCCGAGTCTTTGTGCTTGTCACCAGGTTATGCTTGTTTGAACACAAGACCCTCAGCTAGTCTTACACGACATTTGAACCGCTTTTCCCATCCATCACGTGACAGGTACTATACACTCAGTTGATCAAAGGTAGCTTTTCTCATCATCTTTTTTTTTGAACTATAATGATACATACAGAAAAGTGTACAAATCCTAAGTGTACAGCCTGATAAGTAGTCGGAGCGAGAGCACTGTGCCACCAGCACTGCGATCACAAAATGCAACGTTGGCAGCGCCACAGAAACCGCTTTGGACTCTCTCTCTCCTTTTTTTCCCTGTGTTTTTTTGTTTTTGTTTTTGTTTTTTGAACAACTACTTGATGTTTAGCTTTTCTGATCTTATTCCTTTAAGGATCTCATTTTCTCATGTTCTCCACTATTTAATTTGCCATCTGTCAATCTCTGTTGTTTGATTTCAGTTGCCTTGGTTTTCTCCCTCCCCTTTCTGTATACTGATGGAGTTAGTTCACCCGGTTGATTTATGTGAGGAAAAAGAAACACAGACCCAGATAACTCAAAACTAATTTGCTCGACTTTGGATTTTAAGGTGATTTTGCACCAGATTTGCATTCCCACTTGGCTTCTATTTCAGCTGCTATTATCATCCGTTTACATTCCTTAAGCATGTGCCAGCTGGCTAATGGAATGAACAGGCCGTCCTGCAGAAGCCCCGCCAGGAAGGAAAACTGGGTGGAGACCATACACGCGTGGATGGTGGAAAACTGAATTGCAGTTGGTGCCTGTGCCCAGAAAACGGTCTGCTTAATGAGCTGGCTTTCTTGGACTTTTTGTTTGCATCCAACTGTATATTCTAATATAATGAATTTGTTTTACAAAGAAAGCTTTAGGATGTTGAAGAATCTCAGTATAAAAATTACCCAGAACTAAATTTGTGTCTGAATAATTGTTTACTTCCTCCAGTTCTCTGCGCTTAGTGCTTCCATATCCTCCTGCTGCTTGCTTTTCTTGTATTTTAATGCAGCTTACACTTCCATTTCATCCTCTCGTTAAATAACTATCTTGTTTCCTGAGGTTGATGTTTCATAATCTTTGATGATTTAAGCCTCTGGGATAATGTGCAGTAGAAGCTGGCTTTGCTCCTTCCTTACGCAAGAATCATTAGCAGGACTACCAGGAAAAACAATAGAGGCCACAGTAAGTAGCCAAAAGAACTACCTGACTTTCTCTTCTTCTCCCCTGAATTTCGAAGCCGGTGTTGTTATTTCAAGGCCAGAAGGCGCGATTGCTAGGGATCGTTCTTTTCCTATTTGGAAGTAAAGCCCTGCAGACGGAGCTCTGGCAGGGCAGGAGAATTCGGGGTGGGAGGTGGTAGCAAATGCTCAACATTCTTCGGGCAAAATAGTGCAGAGTCCTTCCTTCCTCTGCCTCTCGCCTCTCCGGTTCTCCGAGTGAGTGCAGACTCAGCAGCAGCTCTGTTCAGCCTCCCTCCTCTCCTTCATTTTATTTTTTGCCTTTAATGATAAAGGGGAAACAATTCCTCAGGACTTGCTGTGCACACATTTGTGGAGAAGATGGGTGGTAGAACGGGAAGCTCAGAGGATAATGTAGCCTTAAACCTGTGCAGGGGCTGTTTTGCTTCTCCCTCCTCTCCCCTTGCCCTCCCTGCTCCATGTCCCCCTCCCCTGCCCCCTTCATCCCTTCTCCCCCTCCCCTACTCCCTGTCGTCCTCCCGGGCCTCCTCTCTCCCCCACAATCCCCTCTCCCCTATTCCTCCTCCAGGATCACTAGCGGCGCTGCCTTGGGCAAGTTAGGCCAGATACCACTTTCCTCTTCTGTAAACTAGTCACCCTAACTGTGTTGTCCTGTTCAGATAGGACAGCACTTTGCCAAAGGTAAAGCTCCATGCCAGCGTTCCTTAGTGTTAAACCAATTACAAATACCAAACGTCGTAATACCCCAGCCTGGGCAGTGGGGTCCCACCTCCCATGCTTGCTGGGGACTGAGCGTGCCCCACCCCCCACCCCCCACCCCGCTCCACCTCTCCTGTCACAAGTGAATTCCTTCTACCCCGGCAGCCTTTCTCATACCTATACCTTCTTTTCTCTTGGGTTGTGGTTGTAAGTCAGATCTCTGAAATCATGGCAGAGAAAGTTAATGATAATGCTGGAGAGGGTTTTACATAAAATCAAAACTATATAAAAATCAACTTCTGGGGCACCTGGGTTGGTTGGGCATTTGCCTTCTGCTGAGGTCATGGTCCCAGGGTCCTGAGATAGAGCCTGTGGGGAGCTTGCTTCTCCCTCTCCCTCTGCTGCTCCCCCTGCTTGTGTGCTCTCTCTCTGTCAAATTAAAAAAAAAAAAAAATCAACATCAAACTCTTGAAGGTGCCTAGAATATGGGCTCGGGATCTCTGCAAGGTCTTGGACTGAGTATTGTTTTCTGCAGATGTGCAGCATTTCAACTGTATTATGACACAAATGGGCTTTTTGTGGGCTGGTCCAAGACAGCTAGGTAAACATTTTAACATGGGTTTTATGGGAAAATACATTATAGTTTATTTGTGACTGATAGTTTGTTCATAATTGGGGAACTGCCCGAACAAGGTTTTCCCTTAAGATTTTTTAACTTTCTGTTGTCAGGAGAAGAGATCTAAGTATGGGTGGATCTAAGTATAATGGATTCCTGTTTTTATTTAGAAACTACCACACTTACTGATGGGAAGGGGGAGGAGGTGTATTTAGAATATTTTTACGCTTTGATTTTTTAACTTACATCTGTGAGGGTGAAAAAGGATCTTTGGAGCTAGAGAGGATACATTTTTCATGAAATACTGGATGAGACAAAGGCCTCAGATCACATCAATGGGATGTATTATTATTGTAAAGAGATGGGAGAAAGAATATGTAGGGGCCAAGGGCAGGCTGCCCCACGATGGGCCACTTTGCATAAAGATTATTTTGAATTCATGAAAACCCAGCAGATACAAGAAAAAAAGCTCTCTGTCTTCCCCTCAACTGCCTAAATTTACTTTGTAAAGGAGAGCCTGTACCAGGAAGAGAGCTATTAACAGAGACTTGACCTAAGAAACTGATCTGCATAATAGGGAAACCTCTTTTTCCAAACATCTCCTCTCACCTTCCTGCTAATGGCCTTCCTCCCCTTTGGATCCTCAGGCCCTACCCCTCTCCTTAGCTCATTCATGTTGCCTCACTGTCTTTGCAATTTCTTGTCTCTATGGATTCCCCTTGTGTACACTATTAAATTTTATTTTCTCCTGTTAATCTGTCTTATGTCAGTTTGGTTAAGTTCAGCTCAAGGGGGCCATAGTGCAGAGGAGGGTCTGTGACGATCTGTGGTAAGCAGATGCACTTACCTATTCCTGATGCCAGGAGGCTGGGCTGTGAAACACAGTCTGACTGAACAAGTCCAGGGGGTCAGAGGGCACATCAGTTGGTCAGTGTTTGGTTCTTTGCTGACCTGGTCAAGTGGGCTCTCCAGGATGGAGCAGAAAGTGTCCAGCTGCTGAGTCAGCTGAAAAGACTTTTTTTTTTTAAAGAGCTTACTGTTAATGGGAGTTTATTTAAAAATGTGTAAATTATACAAAAATAGCCAGATAGATTTGTTGAAGATCAAGAGGGTGGTGAAATAGTTTGACAGCATACTAAATAGAAATATGGAGGTGAATACCAGGAGAAACAGATTTTTGTTAAGGGTTGAAATTGGATTTTTTTGGTGAGTAGAGAAGGATGATGTAGAGGACTGCTACATTTTATTATAAGTCTTTAAATAATATTTGCTTTTTAAGCTATGTGCTTTGCTAAAATAAGAATCATTATAAAATATTCATAAATGTTCGCATCATTTGAGGATTATGTAAATTGTATCCATAGTAGTGCTATAATAGCATAATTAAATGTTTTTATATAGAATCAATGTGTAATTACCAGTTTCAGAATTTTGTGATTAGATACATAGTTCTGTCTTTGGGCTGTATTTGTTTCCAACTTTATGCCTCTCTTTTCTTAACTTCAGTACTTATATGTCATAAGTACTAGTAAAGTCAGGAATGATCATCTTCGCATTTTACTACCCATAGCACCTGGCACAGTAGCTTGACGTAGTAAAATATCAGAATATGGTTGATAAGTACATTTTCTGGAATTTTTTTTCAATATCTTTCTAAAAATTGCACAAATAACACAGATTCACTCTAGAAAAAATAGAAAAGCAAACAAAAAAATTAAAAATCACCCAGAAACTCATCTTACCATCTTGATAACACCCCTCCAAATGTTTTCTTATGTAATATATACATGCAAATAAATTTGAAATAAAAATTATCCAGGGGCGCCTGGGCGGCTCAGTCAATTGAATGGTTGAGTGTCTGCCTTTGACTTAGGTCACGATCTTGGGGTCCTGGGATGAAGTCCTACATGGGGTTCCCTTACTTGGCAGGGAGTCAGCTTCTCCCTCTCCCTCTGCGCCGCCCCCCCCCCTTGTGTGCACGTGTGCACGCAAGCTCGCTCTGTCTCAAAGATATAAAATCTTAAAAAAAATTATCCAATACACACTGTACCCATGTTCTTAAGATACTTAAGTAGAATTTTTAAGTCAACAGGTATGTATTATTTTGAAGGCTCTTTATCATGTTGCCAAATTGTCCTCCAGAAATGTTATATCAGCTTCAGTCCCCATTAATAGAACAAAGAGTATTCATTTCTCTCACTAACTAAGGGGCAGAAACATACTTATCCTTGATGGGTTCATTATTATTTCTTAGAATAATAATACATTTGAAGGTTTTAAATATGGATATAGCTTGTCATTTTGTCTTTAATTTTCAGTGCTTTTCCCCTTCATATAAAAAGTTTCTTCTTAATGTTATTTATATGTTCAAAACTATCAACCATGTTTTTTAAATTTTAAAAATTTCTCCCCAATTTTGAAATTGTATGCTTCGAAAGCTGTTCATTCTGCAAGATCATATATGTGGAAAGAACTGATTTTTCAGAATTTAGTGGAGTGACTACCTCTTAAATCTCTTCTTCTCCCCATTAGGAAAGCAATTGAAGAACTGCTTAAAGAGGCAAAACGTGGGAAAACAAGAGCAGAAACCATGGGACCTATGGGTTGGTAAGTTCTTGAGTAATCTTCCTTAAAGCAATATTAAAAAGGAAGTCTTGACTGGAAATGTGGATATGTAAATCTTTTAGCAGCCAGAGGGAATATAAAACTGTGCCTGTGGAGGAAATCACCCAGAGGCCAGCAGGAGAGTGGGAGCCCTGCTGAGGGCCAGCACTGGAGGAGCTCTGAGACCCTGAAGAAGAGGGCAAGGGGTATGGAAAGGAGAGTAGCCCTTAAGGGGTCTTTAAGATCCCTTAAGCCCTTAAGATCCCTGGGAGACATGTAGATATGACTGCCCAAAGGCACCGTGTGAGAGTGATATTATATCAGTGTCCATTGTTTAAGGATCTCTGTTTTAATTATAGTCCTTAGTAAATTGAAATTTCTTTTTAAAATTCTACTTGTAAATATTTTGATTATGTGACAGTTCAGCTGTGTGGAACTAAAGTTTGCCTTTACAGTTTCTACATATAAAACAGAGCTCTAAAACTTAAAGTTTAGAAACAAAGGAAGAATTTAACCTTAAGAATTTAGTTTTAAACATTTTTAAGCTTTACTTTAGCAATAACGCATGCATTCAATAAATATGCTGATTTTAGATCTTTTATCTAGAATATAGAACCCACTACAGTGGAGGATTGTGGGTGATTAAAAAGAGTAAAATGTAAAAATGAGATAGGAGTAGAAACTAGGCTTCAGAATATACCTCATTCTGTAGATTTGACTCTTAGAACCATGCACATGGTTTACATAAAAATATAAAACAAAGTTAAACAGAGGGAAAAGGCAATCCTTAAAAATCAAGCAAAATAAAGCAAATAGACCTAAAAAGCCATTTAGTGGATGGCTTAGCTGCACATAAAGGAACTCCTTCATGTGATCTGAAATTGGACTCTATGCAAAAGAACTACCAAGAAACCTTAAGTTGTTTTCAGTCATCATATGTCAACAATACTGATGTTTTTCTGAAACTATCATATGACAGAATAAAGCAAAGTAAATATTTATATGTTGTAAATACCCAGATCTCCAGTGTCAAAGAGATAAAGATATAAAATCAAAGTAAAAACATATAATCCTACATTTGAATTGGAAATAACAGTACAAAGCCATGCTAGATTTTCTCTTTAAAAAACAAAAAAAGAAAAGAAAAGCTTTTTCCAGCTCTGTTCATGGAAAAGTGCTAGAAATGATGACCACCCACTCAGTAGCAGTGAGTGCCCCTGGCATCCAGATTGTTCTATATAAATACCATTTCTCTCTGAAAGAAGACCAAGAACCTTAGAGAAATAACTGACTGCAGATCGGAGGTAGTGCCTGGAGTTCACCAGACAGCAAGTTAGAGGTCACTGTCCCCAGGACTGCCCTCACTTCTTACACCGCTGCAAATTCAGGAAGTTCCCCACAGTACCTTCAGCTTCCTGAAGTCACTGATGGAATCATAATTTACAGAAAACTATGATACTGACAGTTACCGTTTATTACAGGGAAAAGATACAGAATAAAATCTGCCCCAATAAAAGGCATAAAGGGCATTGTCTGAGAGGGTTCCAAACATGAAGCTTCTGTTTGTCCTCCCCCCATGGAGTCAGGACACGTTACCCACCCAGCTTATCAGGGAAGCTCACCCAGGCCTTGGTATTCAAAGTTTTTATTGGGATTCCATTACTTAGGCATGATTGATTGATTGTTCACATGGTTGATCTCAGTCTCCAGGTTGACCAAGACTATGTGACTCAAAGCTCCCACCCTAAATCATGTGGTTGGGTTTTTTTTTTTTTTTTTTTGCAGGGGGTGGGGCATGGTCAGCTCTTACTCTAAGACCATCAAGTGGGGCCTGTCCCATCCTAAGATCCAAACAAAGACATTTCTGTCAGATGTGACATTACCTCCCAGAATTGAGATTACCTCCCAGAAGCCAGACCTCTCTGTGGGTAAGGCCAAACTCTTACTACACAGGCAAGAAATGTGTACGAGGATCCAGAAAGTGATGTCAGAAAGACTTAGGAAACAACCTGAAAGGCCTCCCACCACATGGGATAATTTGATCACCAAGAAGAATAAAGCTATAATGATTGAGATACCTAAAACATGTTAAAATCCATAAAGTCATAATGATAATCACAACAAGAAGCTTAATGAACCCTTTTGGAGAATGCTATGGAACCAAATCATTATTCATAAAATTGGCAAGTAGAGAAGAAGAATAAAACATTTATCTGTTCCCTGTACAAATTATACCTCAGAGTTACCAAATAACTGATGAAAGAAAACTTCCTTGTAGAACTGTGTCTATTAAATGTACAAGGACTACAGAATAAGATCGTCATTCGAATTCCTAGCAACGCAATAAGAAAACAATCTGATTTAAAAACGGACAAAAGAGTTGAACAAACACTTCACTGAAAATGATACAGGATTGGCCAATCAGCATATGAAGAGATGCTCCAAACATTAGTTATCAGGAAGATGCAAATTAAAACCATAGTTAGTTACCACTATACATGCACTAAAATATCTAAAATTAAAAAAGACTGACAGTACCAAATAAGGATGAGGATGTAAAACAATTAGAACACTCACACATTGTTGGCAGAAATGAAAATTGTACAGCCATTTTGAAAAACAGCTGGCTGTTTCTTATACATTCACCATAGAGAGTTCTTCTAACCAATTACCAGAGAATTGAAAACTTAAGCCTACATAAAAATCTGCACAGTAATATGCGTTGCACTTTTATTCATGATAACTCAAAACTGGAAACAACCCAAATGTCCGCTAACTGATAAATGGATAAACAAATTGAGGTTCTAGCCATACATTCAGTGCTACTCCACAACAAAGAGGAACAGAAGCAGACAAACTGCATGAATGAATCTCAGGGACACCCTGCTCAGGGAAAGAAGCCAGACACAAAACCTTACACAGTGTAAGATTCCACTTATGTGGCATTCTAGAAAACCCAGAACTGTAGGGACCAGAAAGGAGATCATTGGTTGCCAGGAAGTGGGGGCAGAAGGAAGGGAATTACTGCAGAACTCTGTGGGTGACAGAAACAGTCTACATCTTGATTGATGTGGTGATTACATGACTTTGTACATTTGTCAAAACTCTTCACACTGTTACTTAAAAAGGATAAATTTTATTCTGTATGAATTATACCTCGTAAACCTGATTTTCAAAATAAAAAGAATGTCCTCATTTTCAATCCCTAAGGACCCACTGGTCCTAGGCAAAGGTCACTGGCCACTAACCTGACCAGATAAGGAGTTGCTGGGGACAGTTCTGGGACAGGACAGGCTGACCACACCTGAACTCATTAACCCATCTCCGGCCATGAAAAGATGCAGTAGGAAGAGCACGCCACCATTTCTGGGATATCCTTGTCAAAAGATTGAACCCAAATCTGATCAGATCTCCAATTAGAACTACTAGTTCGCAGGAAGTAGCGAGGGCGGAGGAACACATTAACTGACACCATAGGGACATAATCACAAAAATCCAGTATGTAGGGAACTCTACAGGACAAACAACCCAGTTTTTTTAACAAACAAATTGCAGAGAAAAGAAGGAGGAGTATCCTATGAACTAATAGATTTGAGACACATCAGATAAAATGTATATTTTATTTGGATGCTTATCCAAACTAACTATAAAAAGACATTTATGAAACAATTGGAGTATTTGATGATATTAAGGAATTGTGGATTTTTTAGGTGTGATAATGGTTTTGCTATTATTTCATTTTTTAAAGCTATTATCTTTCAGAAATTCATTCTGATGTATTTATGGATGAAGTGATAAAAAATGAAATAATCCAGTGCGAGTCAATCTGTATGTAACATATGTATGTAATCATCTTAGATTCAATAAAATACCCTCCTCGTGGAAAGCTGGTTATACAAATGTGGTGAGATAAGATGTCAGGAAGCATTTGGCATTTTTCCCATCATGCAACAGTCGGTCAGTGTTAGTTAGATCTGTTCTTACCTTCTTACCAGCCCTCCTCTGTCCTTTACAGAGAGAAAGGTGTCTCTACTCAGGTGAATCAAATTAGTACAAATTTGGTTAGGGGCAGGCTGCTTAGGTGTTCAATATAAAGCAGGACTTCGATCAGGTTGACCATAGCCACTGGCCCAATCCAATACCATGTGTGAAAGAATCAGTGTAGAGCTAAATCATGAATTCGTGGCTTGACAAGTAAATAAGAAAATGTCAGGATTCTTGCTATGTTAGAAGTGTTCAAGGAGATCATTTGCTTCTAGGCAGCTCTCCGGATGGAAGTCATTTATCCTGACAATCTTTCTGCCCCTTACTGGCTTAGTAGAACTTTCTGATAGTGAAAGAACTAGTTTATCAGTGTTAGCTCTGTTTCCCCTGGAGAGAGTTACCACATGTACAGGTCATCTTGACATTTGTAGGAGTACTGATGTGCACGTTGGGCATTATATCAGTAGGTCAGCAGTTCCACAAAGTTGTCGAGGACCCAGGTCTCTTCCAGTTTTAGGATGTGATGCTTTTCCACTTGGCCTAGTACGGTGGCAGCCATTCAATCCCATTTCAGTTAGCAGAAGGGAAGAAAAGAAGGAAGGCGTGCCTCCCCTCCCAGAAGTTGCCTACACCATTTCTACATATATGCCATTGGTCAGAATTTCTTTTCATGTCTTCACCCAGCTCAGCTACAAGGTCAGGAGTTCAGTCTTTTTTTTCCCCAGGAAGTCATGTGCCAGACAAATATCTGGGGTTCTTTTACTGTAGAAGAAAGGAAGAACGGGTATTTGGGGACAACTGGCAGCCTCTTCCCATGAAGGAGGGAGAAGCATGTTGAAAAGGGAGGAAAAGATGGCAGGCCAAGTAAAGCATTCCAGACTTAGAAGAGGCAGATCCTGGGAGAACAGTATGTGAAACTTCCAAGTTCGCATTAGTCTACAGGATAAGAATTCCTGCTGACATAGCTGTTTTCCTCAATTGTCTTGTAATGGTGGTCCCCGACTTTTTGGTTTTAGGGT